AAAACGATGTCACAAAATCCGCGAGAGATGATAATCGGATTTATTTACCCTTTTCTGTAAAAATCGAAAATCAGATTATTATAAATAATATCTAGGAGAATTTGATGAAAATCGATAATAATATTTAAAATAATATTTCGGAGATAAAAATTTGATAAAAAAATCAAAAAATAATATTTAGGAGATAAAAATCAAAAATAAAATTTAAAATAATAGTTAGGAGATAAAAATTTGATAAAAAATCGAAAATAATATTTCAAATAATGTTAATGAGATAAAAGTTGATAAAATATGAAAATAATAATTAGAATAATATTTAGGAGATAAAATATGATTAAAATCAAAATTATTATTTAAAATAATATTTAGGAGATAAAAATTTGATAAAAATCGAAAATAATATTTAGGAGACAATAATCTGATAAAAAACGAAAATAATATTAAGGAGATAAAAAACTAATAAAAACATGATAAAACTCGAAAAAAATATTTAAAATATTATTTAGGAGATATAAATTTGATAAAATTCGAAAATAATATTTAGGAGATAAAAATCTGCTAAAAGTTGAAAATTATATTTAAAATTATAGTTAGGACTTAGGAGATATAAATTTGATAAAATTAAAAATAACATATAACATGAAATAATTGTTATACATAAAATTTGAAAACTTTGGTATAAATTAATGAAACACATAATTTAACAAAATGAAATTACCTATAAGCCATGATGGAAAAAGATGTAAACTAATTGCCACACATGCAATAGGATGAAGAAGAAGATAAGAAACAAAATCTAAAGTCGGGTTACCAAAAGAAGAAGCCTTAGGTAGGGAAGAAATAAAATTCAAATGTTGCAGACATTCTGTAAAACGATGTCACAAAATCCGCTAGAGATGAAAATCAGATTTATTTACCCTTTTCTGTAAAAATCGAAAATCAGATTATTATAAATAATATCTAGGAGAATTTGATGAAAATCGATAATAATATTTAAAATAATATTTCGGAGATAAAAATTTGATAAAAAAATCAAAAAATAATATTTAGGAGATAAAAATCAAAAATAAAATTTAAAATAATAGTTAGGAGATAAAAATTTGATAAAAAATCGAAAATAATATTTCAAATAATGTTAATGAGATAAAAGTTGATAAAATATGAAAATAATAATTAGAATAATATTTAGGAGATAAAATATGATTAAAATCAAAATTATTATTTAAAATAATATTTAGGAGATAAAAATTTGATAAAAATCGAAAATAATATTTAGGAGACAATAATCTGATAAAAAACGAAAATAATATTAAGGAGATAAAAAACTAATAAAAACATGATAAAACTCGAAAAAAATATTTAAAATATTATTTAGGAGATATAAATTTGATAAAATTCGAAAATAATATTTAGGAGATAAAAATCTGCTAAAAGTTGAAAATTATATTTAAAATTATAGTTAGGACTTAGGAGATATAAATTTGATAAAATTAAAAAATATTATTTATAATAATATTTAGGAGATAAATATTTGATAAAAATAAAAAATAATATTTAGGAGACAAAAATCTGATAAAAATAAAAAATAATATTTAAAATAATATTTAGGGGATACAAATATGATAAAATTCAAAAATAATATTTAAAATAATATTAAGGAGATAAAAATTTGATAAAAATTGAAAAAAATTTTACAAATATGACATTAGGGTTTCTAAGGGTTGCCCTAGCGTTTCTTTCTTTTATATATAAGATGTAGTGAAAACTTGATTACATTTATTAAACATCTTGCCACTAAATAAGTGGAGACGGTTGCATGCATAAAGCATGAGCACAACAACAAAATAAAATAGAAAAAACTATTAGATATATATGAAGACAGATGAATTTGTTATTTGGAAAATAAACTATTTTATAAATTCAAATAAGAATGATTTTGTCAGAGTTTCTGAATCTACTTGCACAATTATAAGAAATGAAAAGGATCAAATAAAATAAATTAAAAAAAAAATCAAGAGAGAAAAACTTAACTCCCCAAGTAATTAGGAAACGATAATTAGACGAAACCATCGAAATTTTTTTCCTATTTAAATTAATTTTCCAGCAAATTTACAAACACCCCCAACTTCTTGGAATAAGCATTTAAAACCAACTCCCTAACTTTTGCTTTTAAATAAGCTTTTGCAAACACCACCATAATACAGCTCATGGGTTTCGCGTGATGTATGTGCATGATCGAAATCGCCTATAAATTTGGTTAGTCTCAACCATCAAATTGAAAAGAAAAAAACAAACAAACAAGCTCAAAGATGAAGAATACTACTGCATCACCTATACTAGTTCTCTTTGCCATCCTCATCACCACATGTAAGCCTTTCTTAATAAAGTAATTAATATTATATTTTTTCTGACATTAATTAATATCTGCAGTTATACTTAGTTCGTCGGAAATATATGGACTGGAAGCCATGGAAGTGCAATCAAGTATTACTAGAGCATCAATTACTAAAGGATGCGGTAATACGTCGTGTCGAAAAGATGCGGACTGCATTAATGCGCATTGTCGTGAAAGGCGAAAGAACCAAGTCGTGTGTGAGCATTGACAACACTCGTTAGAAGAGTTGATGATACCTTGTCTGTACTACTACAAATTAAAAAAAGCCTTTAATTAACTTTTCTTCAAAAATAATTATTGTATTATGAACCAAAGAGTGTTGGCAATGAACTCTCTCAAACAATTAAGGCCCCATTATGTTTATATATGTATCCCATTGTGAAAATCGAAAGAAAAACAAATCTAGATAGCACATTAATTAAGATCATGAACATCATATATTTAATTTGGTAATTAAGACCATGCATACTAACTTAATAATTAATTATTGAATGGGGAATTAATTCAATCTCACTATCCGATATAGGTAGCCATACGAGCCTTAATATATATTCAGTCTTATTTTGTTGATGGCTAATATAAAATCGAAAAAACTAGTTCATCATCATATATGAATAAATTCTAGCACAATTCCTCACATGACCAATATTTATTTATATTTCTCTGTTAGATATAAAGAACAGATATTGTTTCTTTATTTTATGTTGAAACTTTCAGTTGTTAATTAGAAGTAAGGGTGGAAATCGGATGGATCAAAATCGACACGTTACCAAAATTTCAATTTTTTCGGAAGAGAAAAACTATTTTCAACTCCGTTCAGAAAAAAAAAAACTCGAAAAATTCGGGTATCAGGATTTCAAAAATTGTAATGAAAAACATTGTTCTAAAATCAATTTTTTTTGGATTGGAGTTTGCAGAATTCGAAAATTCCAAATTTTTAGTGAGCTGTGACATAAAATAAATAATAATATTGACATTATAAGTGTAAGTTTTTGGAATTTAATTTGAAATTTTCGGAATAAAATCGGATCGAAAATCGAAAATTTAATATGCATTCAAATTCCGTTCCAAAAAAATCCAAATCTGAACTCTTGGATTTCGGAATGAAAAATGTTGTTCCAACGTCGAAAATTTCAAATCGAAATCATCGACATTCGGAATTTCCATTCCAGTTTCCAATTTTGAATTAGGTGACGAGCAGTTTCTTTTAACCTCAAACCGACTGTCATTAATCAGTTCATTTAGGCGGAGAAGCAAATTCTTTTTCTACTTGAAAGTAGGTACTGCCTTATTTCAAATGGTTGCCTCGTCAAAGTGCAACTTTAAATAATACTCAATGGAAGAAGAAAGAGAGCTAGAGACAAGTTAATTACCTCTGAAATAAATTAAGATGGAATTCTCTTCGGGCTCGTTCGGTTACCTATATTGGATTAGATTGGATTACATGAGATTGGATTAACTCCCTACTGACTAATTATTTTTTTAGTTAGTAGCATGTTCGGTTTGTTAGATTAGACTTTCTATTAAATTTGTTAAAATCAGTTATTATATATGAATTGTCTATAAAACCACTTAGTTTACAATAATAAAATATAATTTTAAGGATAAAATTGTATTTTTCTTTTTTAGTCACCCCCTATTAAATTAATCTCAGGGGGAGGGGTGCTACTAATTTAATGAAATAGTAGCATTTAATAGCGGGCTTTGAATTTAGTAGCGGGTTTGAAAAAGTGTGAATCTTACCAACCGGACATGTTATTAGCCCCTACTATTTAGTCAGTAGAACCTTATAGCGGTAACCGAACGAGCCCTTCTTGTATTTCAAGATTTTAAGAATCGAAGGAGCTTTAACTTTCTTTATATTGAAATAATAATTGTTGCCTAAAACAATTGTACATAAATGCAAAACTAAACTTCTATTAGATAAATATAAATGTGCACGTATAAGTAGATTCAATTAAAACCCGATTAATTACAAGGATATTTAAATGTGTGTGTTCGTTTCGTCTACTTAATCTTCTTTTATTGTACTCATCAAACATATGTAGTGATGATGGTTGAGTTTTTGATGGGGTACATTAATTATCATGTCTTTGTTAATAAATCAACTTTAACTACAGGTTAAAACTCTTTCTAAAATGAATTGGTTGATCATTTATTTGGCACATACCTTGAAATGGTGTCAAGATTAATTAGTTCTAACTACAAAATCATCTAAGTAACTATAAAATCAAGCAAGATTCATATATATCTTTGTATATAACATTTTTTTATAAGGGATTAATATATTTTGAACTTTTGATAAATAGAGAGAAAGAAGAACAAAATCGTTCTTTTGCATAAACCGATAATTGTTCAAACTATCACGAGTTCCATGAGTTGCTCAAAAGACTCGAGCAACAAATCAGTCGGTCAACAACACAATAAAATTGTCCGGAAAAAAAATTAAAAAAAATAAAAGAAATAATTAATATTACTTTACAAAGCAAAAAAAAAAACATTAAAAACAATTAATGTTACTATGTCGACTTGATAAAAAAAACCTCAACGTTGTCCAAAAGCAACGGCGGTTAAAATTGAGGTCAATGATCAAAATTGGTTAATTGATGTTATATTAAAGTTTGATTGATGAAATTGGAGTAAATTATTAAAATTTAAGACGTGCTTGTCTTTCATGATCTTGTATGAAAACGATATGAGCATTGACGGAGTCATGATTTTAAATCCGTGGGGCCAAATGAATTAAAAAACTTGAGAGACGAGGCCGTTTAATGCTATTTTACACGAAAAAATTGTACTTATATATAGTATTAAAGGATTTGAGAAATGTTGGGGGGCCACGACCCCCAATTGGCTCTATGTTGGGTCATGGAGTTTGTTTGATATACAATGTGGATGAAAATCTGCCTATAAATTCTGTTGAATCTCACATGAAAAATTCAACAAAAAAGATGGTGAGTACTACACCTAAAATAATTCTCTTTGCTCTCCTTTTGATCACTTCATCAGGTAAAATTAACTTATGATTCTAAATGAATTCTACATTTATATTCCCCATACCATGTTTTCAATAAACTGGAATCTAATAAGCTAGCTCAACAAAATCTCGAGCGCTCGACTTTTCTAATTGTTTATTAATTAATTTTAAAATTTTATAATCTGCAGTTATACCTTGTTCCTAGAAAATGTATGGGGTGAAAGTCATGGAACTGCAACCAACATGAACTACGAGAGCTGCCCTTGTCGTGTGCGTTGATGCTAATTGTGGTAGCAAGAGTTTCACCATGAAGCGTCCTTTTAAAATGAGTAATTGTCTTAGTTTTTAATGACATATCTCTTCAAATTATATTCAATAAAATGAAATGTGGAGTGTTCACAATAATCATATATAGCCAATAATAATAATTTCATGTAATAACTGTAGTGATTGTAAGATGAAATCAAATAAATTCACCTTTATTTTTATTTACATGGGGTTTTGATGCATTTTTGCTACCTTTATATGTATAGGTATTTTTACTCATATGGTTAGCTCGTAAAAAATTTACCTTCCATCTTTACATGCATATATTTGAAATAAATATTGAAGACTAAATATATACATTTCAAGTCACTAAAGTATATTATTTGAGCCAAATATTGTAATTAAAGAATATATATATATATATATATATATATATATATATAGGACCGGCAATTGAGCCGGGCCTACCCGAACGAAGCCCGATAGCTAGGCCCGATTTTATTTGAGCCGAGCCCGATTAATTGTGAGCCGGGCCGAGTTTGAGCCGTTTCATTAAACCCGATTAAACTATGAGCCGAGTTTGAGCTTACCATGGCTCAGCCCGAATAAAGCCCGACTAAATATATATATCATGAATCAAGATTTTCGAAAAGAGATACAAAGACATTTATAATTGCTTTTATTTTTTTTTTTTTTTTTTTTTTTTTATATTTTGGACTCGGATGCATTTTTTCATATAATTATTTAAGGATTAAATATTTACAACAATAACCTTCATTCGTTAATGAACAGTAGACTATGGTTTTTCTTTTTAATCTTATTTTGATTTTTAATGAATATTCTAGATTTTTCTCTTAGACTGTGAGGTTTTTTTTTCTTTCCACGTCCGACTACAAAGTTGTAAAATATGTAATTTATTTAGGGAATTGCTTTTTGCGGTTTGAAAATTGCTATTTGCGGTTTCTAACAAAACCCCCCAAAAAAACACTTTATTTCACTACAACCCCTAAACTTTCCAAAAAAATCCAAAAACACCCCCCAAAACGCGTAAACGCCCAAGTTGGGCGCCCATTCATGCAGTGCACGCCCAAGTTGGGCGTGCAAGCTGCATTTGGGCGCCCGAGTTGGGCGTCCAGTGCAAAAAATTTTTTTTTTTTTTTTTTTTTTTTAAATGTTCGAACGCCCAAGATGGGCGCCCAAGGCGTGTAGTACGCCCGGAACGGGCGTT